TTGTGAAAGCGAAACTACTTTGTTTGGTCTTCCAAAAGAGGACGATATCTGCTTCGTCATGCCTGGAGCTGATCCGTGTTTTATGTTTACGCGGCGCGATGCAACGCGTAAAAAGACAGTATAAGTCATTATAATCAGTAATTATGTCCCCACTGGATGCAACAAATACCTCGTTTGTAATGGGTTTTAATGTTTATGTCTCGTCGCTCCGGCCGGACACGGCATCAACAGTATGTGAGGGGCGTAACATTTCCGTCTCACGCTTGAGGTATTCGGCCAATCACAACGCATTGGATAGCTGGCCAATCACAGCACACCTCGCTTTTTCAGACCGATGAGCTTTGTAAAAATCGACGCGTTTCAAAAAGGCGGGGCATAGAGGAGAAACAATAATGTACAGTACGTGGAAAATAATGTGTTTTTTTAACTTTAAACCGCATAAACACATTTCATTACACCAAATACACAAAATAATGTTCTTTTTAGCAGCATCATATGACCCCTTTAATACCGCGTGGTTTATATACATGTTGCTGCTGATTGGGCTGACATGTTTGACACACCCACCAAACAAGAGAAAACGTATCTCAAACCCTGTTGCACACCGTTTACAGGAAACATGTCGTTCAAAACGGAAACCGTAGCAAAACGGTGCACACCGGTTTGAGCTTGAACTTGGCCCAGATGTGTGAATGTTTTCTGATATCTTTATGTGATTGGTGGATATTATACCATCTGACTTCCCTATTGGTTAATTGTAATTTTGAATATTTTCTCTGTATTTAAACAAGTTTCCTGTATTTGCAATCTTTCAGGCCTGTGCTTGAGTATGTAGATATTATCAGAAAAATTAAACAAAGAATTAAAATGGTATAGATCAATAGTAATATTTCTACTATTCTTCACAAAAACAACATTTTACCAACAATGCTCATGAAAAATGTGTATTTTATTTAGTGCTAGTAGATACAAAAATACATTATGAAATGCATAAAACTTTCCAAGTACAGGAAAAATATTTAAAGCACATATTTTCTTTTGAAAATGACCCAATTTCCTCCGAACTCAAAATAATTAGGCCTATAGCATATAAATCATTGAGGGCACACAAACTATGGTGATAACTGTAAGTCCAGCTGCAAAGAACTGACATCACAGTCAGCAGTGAAGTCACTGTCCCGCTCAATCTCAAGAATCATGTCTAGCAAGAAGGAATATTCTTCCTTACTATCGTGAACCCAGCTGCCTGTACTTCCCTCTTACACATCGCTATTTGAATTTTCGGCAAGGATCTACTGTAGACGCGATTCAGCTCATTTTCAAACTCCAGCTTTGCCACAAGATCCTCCAAGGTCTGTGTATCTGAAAATAGAGAAGGAAGTTAGTTTAAAACTGGCAAGTGTCACACCTGGCATGATTCTGATGATGATAAAACTGTCCGAGGAGCCCACACAGATCTTGCAGTTTTGAAGGATGCGTGCAGCACTGAAAGTCTTCATTCCTATTTATAGAAAATGGCCTCATTATTAGTAACAGGCATGATAATTAGGATAACTGCAGCACATTTATCACTGATAAAAACAGTATACACACCTAAAACTCATGCGATCTGGCCTCTCTGTGCAGTGGTCAAATACATATTTGTCATCCTGTGATGTTCTTATCAGGCTACAGTTGTGAAAAGGAGAGACACTGTTTGGAAATGATGATGGTAAACTAGGAACCTCCTCTGCTGCCTGATCCAAAGCTGCTGCAAGGCTTCCTCTACAGTTTCTAAATTTGGTTGACATCACTCTATTGATTTAAAACAATTAAGCACAATATGTTACACAATACAAACATAGCTTACAGAAATGCAGCTTGTTTAATGAAAACTACCCTAATGCCAAACAGTACTCTACTGTACAGTAGAGGTCAAAAGGCCAAAATACTAGTACCATAGTACCGTAATATTAATATGTTTTTGAACATGGTACCATGGTAGGATATCCACCATATTTTGCAACGCATACTGTAAGTAAGCTATTTTCTGTGATGAATGTGTGAGACTTCCAACTGATAAGCTGCTATAAATATCCTAACTAAAAGAATAAAGTGCAGTTAATGGTCAAACTATTTGCTCTACAATCCAATGTGTTTATAATTACGACAATACATTAAAGTAATATGATAAGAAACAGCAGTTTGCACTATGAAGCGGCACAACAATTTGTTTTGTAACACTAAAAATCATCGGACCCAAATGACCCATCTTACGTAGAAAAGGTGGATATGAAAATAAATCAGAACTGTTTTGAACAGGTGATAATAATAGCCTAATTGAAATGCTATGAACGGTCACACATTTGTAGCTAGCCTACACAGTCAGAAACTGAACATTAGTCGAAAATGTTAATATAGATAAATCATTATACTTTGACTGAAGGCTGATCCGTTATGAATATCCAGATCTGTTATGGTCGCGCGCGGAGAGTTTAATGTCTGTTGATAACGTGCACCAGAATGTTATTATTTTTCTGTTTGTGTATTTTGTTTTTTTCGTTCAAACGTTCGTACGCGATGGCTGCATTCTAAAGTAGGCCTATTAAGAATATCAGTCATTAATACAAAGGTCAAGAGATAGAACATTAAATTATAATGGAACATTCTTGTCCATTTTGTATGATTATTATTATTATTTTACATTGAAGCAGTTGTTTATAGCTAAATTAATGTGCAACGATTCGCATATTTGTGTTTAATTTCATATTATCCCTCCGTAGTACTCGGTAGAATGAGGATCCAAGATGAAGTGTGTGTGTTTGTCCATCAGGGGGCGCTGCTGCACCTTCCTCTCACACAACACTCGGCGGCTAATGCTAACTAGCTCACAATGGCCGGACAGGAGGATCCAGTGCAAAGGGAAATTCACCAAGACTGGGCGAACCGTGAATATATCGAAGTGATCACCAGCAGCATTAAGAAGATAGCCGATTTCCTCAATTCCTTCGGTAAGATGGAGAAGCTCCGACTTGTCGTTTATTTTTACATAATTTATTACGCAATTTCTTCACGCTAGCATGCTAATCGATAGCAGTGGGTCATTCGACTGCATAATTTGCGGACCAGTATGTGGGTTACATCAGGTTTTTTGGTTTTTGTTGTTTAGAACCAAATAATATCATAATAAATGAGTATATTTGTTGAAGACGCAGTTTATTAGACATACAGGCAGTGTGATGACCAGGAAAAACATGCAGGCGTTGGGTTGGTCTGGTCTTGTCGTTCATGTTTCAGATTTGCACTTTTTTGACAATAAATATAATGTTAATATGATTATTGAATTGCTTGCTATACTGAAATAAACGTATTTCAATAGCTATATACACATTTAATATCTTTGCTTATAGTCAAAGAGCCAAACAGGGTGAACAAA